AACCTGATGATGTGCAAAAACCGCTGCCGCCTCCATCACTTACTATTTTGAAAGTGAGCGATGGCTCCTCTTTGCACCGTCTTCTGGTATGGTGAAAAATGATCTCTTTCTGTTTGATAAAATGCCACGTTCACTTTTTTTTGACAAACGTAATGCCGGATATATTCTATAGGTACTGGTGGACTCGGAGCTGGCAATTCCTTCTCAAGTCATACCTGCTGGAACGTGCATAGTAGCAGAAGGTATATTGCAGCAGCCAGCGTCTCTGGGGAAACATCTTATTGAATTCAAAGCAGACAAAGTTTTGCATCTTGGGACCGTTGATCAGATGAAGTATCCACTATCAAAGAAAGGCTTATCCATGGAATTTTTATGGGATTGGTCTCACCTCCGAGCTAGAACCACAACGGTGATTCTATTTTCAGTTTTCAACTTTTTCACACCCATCCTTTTTACTAACATCACTAAGAGTTTTTCTTTATTATAAAATCCACTTATGTAAATACTAATCGTAGTTCTTATGCTCAAAACATGGATTTGGTTGATTGGAAATGTAGTGGTCGTTTGATAGCCACTATTTTAAATATATCTTGTACCAAGCACTTATTCAGTTATTCTGTTGACCGACTAGGTTAGAGACGAAAACAACTAGGTTTGGAGGTGTTACTTTTGCTAAAGTAGCTGAAGATAATCTTTTTAGCCTTTTCTCATATACCTTTTTCTTTTATTTAGGGAAAAGGGACAAATAAGCCCACGTACTAACCAAAAAAGGTCAGATAAGCCGGCTCTGTCCAGCCGTCTTCATTTGGGGCCGTTCCCGGTGAAAGTTTTTGATGAATTTTTCTGAGAATCTTATTCATCAAGTCTAGTTTACTCATACCAAATTTCAGGTAACAACTCAATGGGGAAGACATTCAAATAAATTCTTGAAGATAATTGCGCTTTTAACTGCGCAGTCATCTTCAAGAACTCATTTGAATGCCTTCCCGATTGAAGTTTTAGCTGAAATTGTGTATGAGTAAACTAGACTTCATGAATAATATGCTCAAAAAATTGCATCAAAAATTTCCACCGGGAACCGCCCCAAATGACGACGGCCGGACATAGCCTCCTATATAAGGTGGACTTATTTGACATTTTTTTGTTAGTACGTGGGCTTATTTGCCCCTTTTCTCTTTTATTTATAATAGAACTGTATATTCTGACTATACATATTTCAGCAATTTGATCAATACTAGCCACAATATTAGCCAAATTTGCCCTTACTAAACTGGGACTTTATCACGTATGGCTTAATGGGCTTTACAAACAGACTTTACAGTAGCTTCTCATAGCTCATACTACTACTAATAACAATCATGGTGCTTTGTCTTGTTTTCATTATCAAGCTGCTTGGTTTTGCAGGTGGCTTCCATAATGCGAATTCGTGATGCCATGAATCAAGCATTTCATACCTTCTTCCGAGAAAATGAATTTCTGTATGTGCACATGCCCACAATGACTAGCACCAACACAAGCGAATATAGAAAGAAATTTGTAGTCACAACTCTAGTAGAAACGGATAACTATGATGGAATGGATACTCTAGAACACATTACAGCTTCCATCAAAGAAAAATCCAAACTAATAGAAAAACTTGAGAGAAGTGAAAGTAACAACGAAGCCTTGGTTGCTGCGAAGATGGATCTGGAGATAATGAAGAAGGTTATATCACGTTTGGGCAGCAAGGTAGAATAAAAGTCTGGAATTTTACTTAGAAAATGAGATTTAATCCATTTTTCTAAAGATTCATTTTCTTGTCAGATGCATCTGACTGCTTCCGGTCGCCTTCATCTAGAGAGTCATGCGTGTGCACTTGGAAATGTTTACACTTCTGGTCCCAGGTTTCAAGAGAAGAAATCAGAATCGAAGTCATTACCAGAGATGTTGGTGGTTGAAACTGAGATGGCTTTCTCTAAATTAGAGGCACGTATTTCACGATTGCCCCAAATAAAAAATTAACCACACTTCTTGATGTTTCCTTGCTGACCATATTACCCATTTTTCCGTTGGATTCCAGGATGCTATGAACTGTGCCGATGACCTCTTAAAGTTTATATGCAAATCGGTTCTAGAAAATTCAACCGCAGATGTGAACTTTCTCTCAAAACGATCTAATAAAAGTATTACAGTTATGGAGCACCTCAATTTCATTACATCGTGTTCACTCAAAAGAGTTTCTTATACAGCAGCCGTGAATGATTTAAAACTGGTAAAGGTCTCTTTGTCCTATTTATTAGTGCATACTGCATATAGCTAAGATCCCATTTGGTAAGGGTTAATCCGCTGATATGGCCGAATCTATTGATTTTTAAAAGGAAAGATGTTAAGGTACTACTGATTCTGCTTATTGTGGCTGTTCTGCTGATAAGTAGAATAAGCCACATTTAGCTCCCAAAGGCGCTCTAAATGTTGAAAAATCACAACTTTCCAATATTATGTCTTTTGATGTTGTTAACAGGCCACTGAAAAGAAATTTGGAAAACCTGTAGAATGGGGAGTTCGACTAAGTGATGAACACACAAGGTATCAAATTAGTTTTTTAACACCATATGATTTATCCAATCCAGTCAAAGATATATTGAATTTCTCATTAGTGTTGTCTTTCCGGTGACAGTTATCTGGTGGATGAAATCTATAAAGGCCCAATCTTTATATACAACCATCCAAAGAATCTGAAACCATTCAATGTGCGTCTCAATGATGATGCAAAAACAGTTGCATCATTTGATATAATTTTGCCAAAGGTAATTGAAGCATTCAATTGCTTTATCTTCTTTATCAATCCATGTTTACAACAATACCCATTTTACTTTTTTTGCTTTAAAATATCATATGAATGAATATTACGTATCGGACAACCCGAACTCAAATTTCTGGGACTTGCTGCTCTGCCCTAACAAGTGACAATAACATCATTTATTGAACCCAAGCTTTACATGGTTCAGGTTGGAATTTTGATTAGTGGAAGCCAAAGTGAGGAACGCTTGAAGACTCTGAGCACTAGGTAAGGGCCTTTCACTTTACATTGGCCTTTTAAACCATTGTCAGCTAAGCGAAACTTCCAAATGTTTTCAGGATGGAGGAGGTTGGATTGCCTAAACAACAGTATGAGTGGTACTTAGATCTTCGAAGACATGGTACTGTTGAGCACTCCGGTTTCAGTGTAATGTTTGATTCCTTTGTTCTCTTCGCCACTGGACTCAATGATATTAGAGATGTTGTTCCTTTCCCTGTGCGTTCTAGCAAAACCAGAGAAGGAAGCTCCAAAAGATAAATGGTCATTCTAGAATTCTGAGAATAATACCTCTATGATAGATACTACATTACTACTACATATTTCAATAGTATTTATTATTTCCTTTTATGTAAATATTTACGTAAGTAGTGCTGTCGAAAATTCATGTGCATTGGATTCAAACATTGACATATCATACATGTATTTGTTACACACTTAGGTAACCATGGTTGGTGCTGTAATGCAGAAGGGTGCAAATGTAATTATATGTGTAATCAAATTCAACCCAAAGAATTGTTAATCCTATCTACCTCATAAGTTCATCTACCGGAGATCTCTTAGTTCTGTACACCGCCAAAACTTGAGCTGTGTTGCACCTTTGTCTAGATATTTACTATATTGCCAGCCACACTTTTACCAATGCACTTGCCTACTTGTGTGCCTATATCTCAGCATAGATAAATAAGGGCTTGGCAGATTGTGTGGATAGAAAAGTTGTTCATCATTAAATGTTAATTATGCTCCTTTGTTTATTTGTTGTGTTCCTTACAAGTAGTTGTGTTGATATCAAGTGTTGGTATCATGTCTTATATTGTTTCATGTTTATGTGACATAGCAAGTCTTATATACTAGTAGTTGATAATGAATACTCCCCTCGTCGCATAAAATTTGGACAATTTTCATTTTTTTGGTCGTCCCAAAAAACTTTGTCATTTCTATTAAAAGTATCAAATATGTGGCCAATACTATCTCTCTCCTTTACACAAATCTTATCCACATATTTTTTACTTTATTATTTTACATGCAAGTCAACATTGGTCAAAATTTATGGAACGGAAGGAGTATTATGTTTTCATGATATGGACGAGTGGAAGCTAGTGAATACGGAAACCGTCATATAAATCAATGGATGTTTTACTTTTTATTTTTTTGAAAATCAAATGATTAATTTATTCATCAAATAATAGCAAAGAAACAAATGAGTGAATAACCTAATTCTAATAATGCAGGATAGTTTAATAGCCTTGCTGCACTTGCTACTACAAATATAAAAAAATTAAAAATAAAAGATCCAGCTTCACCAACCATCGGAAAGAAGGAATTGATTTGACCAACAAAACATAGGAAACCACAATGAGAAGAAATTGTTTGAATCATTTGTTACATCATAACATATTTTACCATTTGCTTAACTTCTCCATTTCCCTTCCCAATATTGCATTTTATCTTAATGAAAAATGGTACTCTCATTCTTCCGGTGTCTTAGACAATAGAACTCCTTGACTCGTGTTAGTCCTGTACCAAGCCACTTATCAAGGGTTTTGCTACATATTATCTAACGGTCTAACCTTTCATAAGAACTCCCCGAAGGTCGCATCCATTGAAGTCTACCTTCGGTCGTTTGGTGTCTTCCGGAGGGCAGGGTAGGGTAGCCCTTGGAGTAAAGCCTCCACTTCAATCTGAAGAGAAGGGAAGTTCTACTTTTGGCCTTGCATCATTTTTAAATTAGTATGCCAAGTCCATGTCCCAAACTATGCATTATTTGATTGAACAATTGTACATTTTTATTCCATCACATTGGGACTTCCTAAACTATGACCAGCAGACCTCCTGTTCCATTTTGTTTAGTCTTAATTTTCACCGAAGGAGACGTTAGGTTTAAGTAATCTCATCACTTTGATTATGTGATAACGGTAGTTTGACATCATCTTGATTGGTTAATGTGAAATCACCCCCTGTAAGAAATTGAGGTAACATAGGTGATATACCAATTAGCTGTCTTGGACTTATTTTTCTATTGGAACTTGTTAGAAGATGAGCTAAACACGTAGTCATGTTTTGGACTCTTCCAACTTTATCCCCAACAATATAACTAAGGAAATATTGCATTCCTATAACCTCTAAAGGGGTGGTAAGCTCATGATCTCATAATACCTTTCATTCCGTGAACCAAACAGCCCATGAGGGTAATACAAGTATTAAACATTGTTCACCATATACAATGTATTCAAATCAAGAGCCTCTATGATGATGCTTGCAAAGCCCTAACACGGGCAGTGAGCTCCCTGACTTGGTTCCGCAACCGTTCAGGATTGCAGAAGAAATCGACAAAAATGCGTCTCTGAAGTGTCACCTCCTCTTTGTGATGTTTAATAATCTGCAAGGCGAGATAAATGAGGAGTGTTTATTATTGTATATAGGTTGGCACCATTTGTAATCACTTGATTAACATGACATTTGGAACTGAAATAAAACAATAATGATAACAGTAGTGCTTGGATAATGATATTATTAAGATAACAGTAGTGACATCATGATAAGCAAACCGCACCTCATTCTTCTTCCAGTGCTCGTGAGTCACTTTCTCAACTGCAGTTGAGAGCTTTGCATTGGCCTTCTCCATTTCATCAAGCTCCTTCATTAATGTCTGCGTGCATTTTGAAACAGGAAAATGTTATCAAAATTATTAACTCAAGTTGATTAGCTTATGAAATAATGGCACAAATATAACCTCTCAACTTCTATTAGACAAAAATAGGAGTGAAATATTTTTTCACAAAAAAGTGCCATTCCGCTCTTAAAAAATCTTCCGCTCAGCTTCTTCTTCTCAAAAAAGCCTCAGCTGTGCTTCTTCATTCTTGCGCACGAACCACATGGATGAAGAAGGCTTCGACGCACAGAGCAGTCAATCTCATCCGCAAGTCAATCTCATCTGCATCTCATCCTTGGCCGTCTCGCATCTCGTTTGTGAGCTCTGTTGCCACCATGGACAAATCTGCCGCCTGTGAGGTCTGTCGCCGCCATGGACGAAGCCATCACCTCGAGCTCTTCTGCCACCCATCTCATTGCCTCGCATCTCGCCTTGAGCTCTTATCTTCTTCTCATTTCTTCTCAATCGGCTGGATCCCTATCGGATCGGAAGGATGGTGGCTGATAGACTCAGATCTAGCCACAGCTAGATCTGGTTAGGGTTGACCATGGTTGAGCGTGGTGAGGCAGTGGTTGGCGGGTAGAAGGGGGTGCGGTCAGAATCTGATTGTGCTGGAGGTGGGATAGCGGCAGGGCTAGGGCTGGGGTGAGATACTGCACTGGCAGGGCTGGTGGTGGGGCAGTGATTGAAGCTGGGGAGTGGTATCGGTGGTCACCGGGGGCTGTGGCCGGTGGGCTAGGCGGTGGTCACTGGATGAGGCGATACAGCGGCGGTAATCAGGTGGTGTGCCTACGGCGGAGGCCGGCAGTGCAGGGGTGGTTGCGGTGGCGGCGACTACAATGACACGGGCGGTGGCTATAGTGACATGGGCGGTGGTTATAGTGACACAGGCGGTGGCTACAATGAGCAGTGGCTATAGTGACACAGGCGGTGGTTACAGTGACATGGACGGTGTCTACGGTGACATTAAAATTGTACAGTGACTTTAAAATCTGGCAATGACATTAATATGACCTTCTTAGTCACATTTTTGTCCTAAGGTTAATGCGGTCATATTTTTGGAAATTGTGTTTACTTTAGTAATATTTAGGTAAAAAACCCTTAGCTTAATGCTGGAGATTTAGTGTAGAAGTAAAATATACATGGAATATTTTAGAATCCATTAGGTAGCCAAAAATGGCTTATTTTGCTTATTCTGGAGAATAATCATAATAAATGTGGGTGAAATGGATTTTACTGAACACATTTCAAATAACCCTTTACAAATGGCGCTCTTAATATAATATACAGACAGCCAAATAGAAAACAGGGAAAAAACACAAATAGAAACTTGATGAATACGAATAATAATACCCTAGGGGTCAATATCGGCTGAGCTGTTGTTGATGATGCAAATAATAGTTGCTGCAAACTTTGGACAAGAGTGCACCTAGCACATGCAACAACAAATCATAGGATGATTCACATGGGCTGACAGTGCATAAGAAATCATGAAAAAACAATCCAGGCAAGATGGTAAGATGGTTTGTAACTTACATCTTGCTTATACATTTATATCTGTCTTCGGGAAGGTTATGCTCAAGGTCATACTGCAAAGTTAATAGGTCAGAACGAAGGGCGGATATCTGCTGAATAATGCCGGGTGCAGATACATATGTTGATAAACCAGCTTGAGCATCTAACCAAACAAATAAGTTTATAAGAATACAACTCATAAAAAACAAAGATACTATTATGACTTTTTCCATGACTGAATATTACTTGAATAAATGCTTAAAAGGTCCCTGACACCATGAAGAAAAGTGTCACGATCATCCACACCCCCTTGTTCTTGAACGTCAGATGCAGCTTGAATTAATGCCATACACCGCTCCTAAGATGAAATATTATATCTTTAAGCTACAGAAAACATGCTAAAATGCCTAAAAGTAAAAAAATAATATGATGTACTTGGGATGTCCAAAGACTGATTCACTGCTTTTATCTAAAAAAGCAATGTACTCATTAAAATTCAGGGCGTCAAGGCATCAACTGTAAATAATAGATCACGTTTCCATATAACTCGATGAAATCAATTTTAACCCTGCATTTTGTTAAAACGTCAATTGTACCATTTTTTTAGCTTGCATCATTTAAAAAGAAAAAAGAAAATCCAAAAATGCACCTAATGAAAAATATAAAGTAATTAAATAATAGTCAGAATATTCATGCATCACCAGTCGATATAAGATAATACCATGCATAATTGTCCAACTTAGATTTGAGTTTCATTTTAAAGTAAAAAAACATCCCAGTTCCAAAACTAGGGTCTAGGGGTTCCCTGCAACAACAAAAAAACTAGGGGTTCCCTGCAACAACAAAAAAAACTAGGGGTTCGCACAATAAGGTGTATGAAAATCTCACAATGGAAAACTATTTATACCAAGGGGTGTAAGGCTTATGCACCCAGGCCCCTGTACCCCTTTGTGTATCCTGATTTGGAACAGAACATCAAAAACCTGGTAGAGGAAGTTCAAAGCAAATGATACATGAAAGCACTTACCACCCGGCCATGGGTTGCTGATAGATATCCATGCAGCTCTGACTCAATGACTTTAAGCAATGAGTATGCCCCAATCATAGTCTTCTTCTCCAGTTGACATGCCATTTTCAACAACTGATGCCTAGAAAGTAGCTTAACTAGATGGCTAATAAACTGCAAAAACATTTATCATAAAATAAACATAGGATAGGGAAGCGCAAACACATATAAGGTCATAAAAACAAGCAAATATCAAGTTTCTGCTAAAATTTTGGATACTGAATTATTCCATATGTGAAGCATTTTACTCTTAGGTCGTTTTTAGTTCATTTCTTCTAACATATTCCAAGGGTAATGCGAGCAAGGTCAATTATATTGCTTCATTTCGTTCAAGAGAGGTTATAAAAATCATACTTTTGAATTGGATCAGTAGACGGTTTGAAAATCAAATCGTTAAATTAAATCCTAAATCATAAGATTTTATAAAATATACGTAGTATATAAAAAAACTAGCTCAATTGTTAAAACAAACCAACAACTTAATACTAGCTCAACTCTTAACTTAAAACTATACATATGCATTAATAAATAAGATTTACAAACTATTTTTATAGTGACAATCACACGAACAAATACATTCAGCAAAAACTTGTTTAAAGAAACAAAATCATTCACCACTTTGATGAAAGCTATGTTTTGTTGCCATTGGAATTATCGAAATCACAGTCCATATCAACAATTTTCTAGCTATTTTAATTACAAAAGCATCACTGCAATATTTAGGTTATTAGTACGAATTATGTGCTTTTGTACTATTCAAGTTAATTTGTGATTGCAGAATCGTAAAATCATACTACCTCCGTCCTTTTGTATTTAGCCATCTTTGACTTTTCTGGTCAAGAATGATAGACTTTGATTCATTATAACTAATATATTTATGAGAAACTTAATAAATTTATACTTTTATGATATAGTATTTTTAACAAAGAACATTTTCATATCATTTTCATATTATGAATATTACCGTGTATAAATATATAATCGGTCAAAGTATTACATCATTGACTTAAAAAATAGTGTTTGGCTAAAACTCACAAGGGATAGAGGAAGTATGATTTTACAATTTAAACCACAAATATAACAATCATGTGTTCATTTTGTGTGATAATCATTTTTTTATTACTAGCATGTTGAGTTTGAGGACATAACATAACTCTTATGACATGAAATGTAATCCTTAACCAAGCATGTTGATATTACCGTCATGTAATTTTAACCAAACAACTATTTATTACTTGTAATATGGACAAGGAGAAGTTCCAAACAGGAACCTTATGCCCTAAGTTTATCTCTCATTAATTGAATTAAATGCCTCTTTAATTGAACCTTGAGAGTGTAAGACATAACATAATAGTATAGTCTAGAAACCAGAAATCGATATTGAATATTGCTACTTATATTTGCTATTTGTTCTGAGAAGTACAAGGGAAATCTTACACACACATATATTATAAACATACCATCTTTTGCCGATTAATATACAATTCCTGCCGCATGACCTTTAGATCATAATCTCCTGTAATTTCAGCAAATATAACATTATAAGTACATTAGTATTTATAATAATGACTATTATCTCAAGGATGTGATAAAATATAAATACTGATTTCTAATACCTTGCAAAATGTATGTATCTTGTAGCTGAGCAAGCTCACAACATAGATCAGGAATTGTCTGAAAAATGATGAATACAAGTAGGTAAATAAAACCAGATCTGGTGTTGTTAATGTCCTAAAATCATGCATTACACAATATGAAAATGTCCACACAAAGATGATAGAATGAAGTGTATATGACAACAAAAATAGTGAGAGCTGATAATGAAGATTTTCACAGACCCAAAGCATCAATCTGATGATTCGACATGCGTGGTACACAAGAATAGGAAAAAAGTATCCATGACCCGCAATCCCCAGTCCCCACCCTGTTGATCACGTAGGACAGTATAGTTGTCGGCAGCATTTTAATTACACGTAGCTATGGATAATTTGTTAAGAACTTAAGACATACTAATACAAACCTCAGACAGTAGCTTTTCTTCATTGCGGTATAAGCTTGAAAGTTCTCCAACTAGTTCAGCATGCTTTCTCCTAAAAGATAAACACAATGTATTTATTACACAGTAGCAGGGAAATATTACATGGAACAGTTGAATTATTACAGTGGCATATAATAGTTGTATTGCTTTATCTATCCCCCTTTTCAGCTAGATATGAGGTGTTGATTACAATTGGATATAATATCCTCAAGAAATACATCAGAGGGAATGGACGAAATAAGATTTGAAATTGAGCCAAATGTGTGGGACACTGGGACTCAAACTACAACTAGGCTACATCCCATATCCTCCCTCAGGTAGTTCAGTTCTCAATAAATAAGTCATCATGAACATAATGGGCACGGGCAGCCCATGCTCATGCACCATTTATGGTCTAGAAAACGAAAGCATATTAGCATAAGAAATCATAGCTCCTCTCAAACATGTTTATAGGGATTGACACACTGCTAGCAAACTACGTACACTATGCACAAGGCCAGCCACCAATATATATATAAACATGTCTTATATATGAAAAAGAAAAACATATGCTATCGTGAATTTTATCATAATTAAGATTAAAAGAACAATACCGAAGGGAATGAAGATCAAGATGAATGTGAGCTTCATCTGATGTAACTTGAGCTTTCAGCGTAGTAAGAATAGCCTGTTGCTTAGCATTCTCAACTTGAGCTTCTATCCACTGCCTCTCGCTTGTACCAAATCTGCCATAAAAATTAGGCAGCAATAAATTCAGTGGCACGCTCTAAAATATTAGTTAGACGGGTCGAGCTCACACTATAATGGCCACAAATGCAGGATATAACTATTTCACCAATATTATATTTCAAATCAGAGAGAGATGACAAAGGAAACAAAACATTTGATGAAAAATAAGTCATAGTTTTGATTAGAAATAGTTTCAATTTCTAATTGACAATTATAAGGTAAAAAGATCCATTGGCACTTTGTTCATGTATAGTTGATATTAGAAAGACAAAAATTGGGTGCAAAATTGGAAGTTCCAGAAATTCTAATCACAACTAGGGGTGCAAGATGGAGTCATTTGTGTCTGCATGTATGGACAAATTCAAAAACAATTCATATGTGTGCTGAAGTGTTCATAATTATCAGTCTAACCATTGCTGCTTTAAAAAAATCAGAAATATTAAATAGAACAAAATACTGGGATTTAATATCGAACCTCTGAGCTTCCGAAGGGATAAAAATGAGTCCCACTTTGCCACTAAGGTCATTTGTGTACTATTATTGCAACTTGTTTATAAATAAACTCATGCTCAGAAATATATGTGTACATATATATAGGAAAAAGATCCTTTCCATCCTTCCGGACAGGATGCTCTGTCCGGCCGCCGCCTTTTGGGGTGGTTCCTGGTTGAATTTTTTAATGATTTTTTTGAGCATGTTCTTCATTAAGTATAGATAATGTCCACCAAATTTCAGTTAAAAATTCCATCGAGAAGGCAATTAAATAAATTATTGAGAAACACTGAGCTTTTATATGTATAGTTCAGCACAATACAACAACAACAACAACAACAACAACATTCAAGTCTTAGTCCCAAAAGATATTGGGGTCGGCTAACATGAATCGATACATGATTACATTATATCATCACCAAAAGGAAAAGAAAGAAAATAAATATAAAAAAGATAAGCTATTATAAAAAGATAATATAAAAAGAGATGAATATAAATAAAAATGATAAAATAAAAAGGATACAAATAATGCTTATATATATAAGGATAAAAAAAAGGAAAAAAGATGAGGGGAAAAGATGATACGAGATCACTCCTCCACACGAATACCCGCCCTCCACTTAGCTCTCTACAAAGTCATGCCCTCATCCAACCCCACAAGAAGCATATCACTTCGAGCTCCCCTGACTCACGTCTGTTTGGGTCTTCCTCTCCCTCTCTTCCCTGCCTCTCCTCCACACATCTCAACTCGTCTGACAGGTGCATCACTCGGTATTCTACGCACATGACCAAACCACCGTAGGCGTGACTCCTGCATCTTGTCTTCAATACGTGCTACTCCCACCCTTTATCTGATTGTCGCATTCCTCACGCGGTCCTTCCTAGTATGTCCACCCATCCAACGCAGCGTGCGCATCTCTGCCACACTCATCTTTTGAATGTGACATTGTTTCACCGCCCAACAGTCTACGCCATACAGTAATGCAGGCCTAATTGTTGTCCTATAAAATTTACCCTTCAATCTAGTCGGCATACCTCGATCACATACAAATCCTGACGCACTCTTCCACTTCATCCACCCTATTCTGATTCTATGGGATACATCTTCATCTAACTCACCGTCCTTCTGAATTATGGAGCCCAAGTAACGGAACATATCGCTGACTGGCATCTCCTTACCATCCAGAGTAATTCCGCTATTACCACACTGCTTCTACCTCCACCAAACTTGCACTCCATGTACTCTGTCTTGCTCCGACTTAATTTAAAACCCTTATTCTCCGATGTTTGTCGCCATACTTCCAACTTTGCTTTAAGACCTGATTGTGTCTCATCAATCAATACAATATCATCGGCAAACATCATGCACCACGGTATATCATCTTGAATTGACTTCGTAAGTTCATCCATGACTATGGCAAATAAGAAAGGGCTCAGAGCCGATCCTTGGTGCACTCCGATAGTAATAGGGAACTCTTCAGTCCTCCCTACACTAGTACGGACACTTGTAGTACAATCCTCATGCATATGTATAGTTCAGCGCAATATGTTTTAATAATTTATTTAACTGACTTCCCGAGTTCCCGATAGAATTTTAAGCTTAACTTTTGTGTGCATAATCTACACTTCATGAAGAACATGCTCAAAAAAATCATCAAAAAATCCCACCGGGGACCATCCCAAACAGCGGCGGCCGGACAGAGGGTCATGTCCAATCCGGTTGCATATTATTGCGTTTGCAGGTTAGTAAATTAAGCATGGTTTGTATTTGATCTCTAATATATATATATATATATAAATTAAAGTGTCGCGTTGCATATTATTCAAGCCATAAAAATAGCAGTTTCATATTTACATTATTTGTATTGCATATTGAAGTTCAAAGTGTTGCATATTATTGCGTTTGCAGGTTAGTAAATTAAGCATGGTTTGTATTTGATCTCTAATATATATCTATATGAAACTGCTATTTTTATGGCTTGAATAATATGCAACGCGACACTTTGAACTTCAATGTGCAATACAAATAATGTAAAGATGCACAGTTTGTAGGTTAGCATGGGAGGACTAGTTTGTAACTTTGTATGTGATCCCATATATATATACTATCCTCCGTTCCATAAAAGTTGCAACAATTTGACTTTCACGTTTGCCAACGCGCAACTTTGACTGTAATTATATTTATTTACGTATTAGTAAACATTAAAAAAAGTTGATATATTGGAAATTTACATTAATACAAATTTATTAATATTTTATACATAATATTTTTATTATATATATTATTAGAAAATTGTAGTCAAAGTAAGGTGTGTGAATAGTGCAGAAATTCCAATGTTGCAACTTTTATGGAACGGAGGAAGTATATATATATATATATATATATATATATATATATATATATATATATATATATATATATATAAGTATGGGGGTTAAGGGGCGAGTGATCGCTCTGGGAATAGTACATGATAGTTCATCTAACTTTTTAAGCTTCAATATAGCCCCTGGCAGATATACATTTTCCTTCAAGACATTATCTTGCCACAATTTTGAGTCATAAGTGATGCTTGAATGACGTAATCACGCTCAATTGGACCCGATTATAAAAAAATCTTATATCAGAAGGTAAAACATTTGCACGAGTCAAAATTTCTGAAGCCTCTGTCTAGATATACTCATGACAAGAATAGGAAGTCCACAAGGACATACATTGAGCGAAGGCGCTGCAACTCTGAGACCCGCTGATGGTGTGACTTTTCTAAATCTGTGACATCACAAAAACAAGGTAAGTATGACAACATTCAGAGACAAAGAAAGAGGCATCACAGTTGGGTGTAAAGCATTCTACAGATAAACCTGAACATGAAAAGTAATACAAAGACGACACTTAGAACCAGAGAATGAAGACCATGGCATAGAGACATACCTAGTTGTAAAACATTTGAGATGTCATTTAGGCTGACCCACGAACATTTAGACTTTCCCTCTTCAGCAACTAATCTGTAAGGACCCTAAATGAAGAGGAAGAGCGCAAAACAGAAAAAATGTCATTTACTGTTATAGTGTCATCTGAAATCTACATAGAATGGAAGTAATATAAAGAAATATATGATAGATCCCAGATAAAGTTATCTAGAAAATCTAATCTTGTTTCCAAGTCGTGTATCATTTGATGGTGAGTATAAATCATAACTCATAAATATAAGAAAAGGCAACTCCGATAATATGTTATGCTCGAAATGATGTGCAAGTACATCCAGTAATTCAGAGCCAATAACATTTCACAAAGATAGATTTCTTAACTCAGATAACATGAAGAAATTTAGGCTAACAGATAAAAGAGCATGTTCATGTGAGGAAAATATAGTAAAGTAATGTGAGTGTCTATTAAAATATACCGTGTCCAGATGCTTGGCAAACCATTGATTTAGCTCCTTTATGCATGAAGCATCCACAAACAAAAATTGATGAAAATCTGAATAAGCCAAGTAAATACCATCCTCTGGAAAAAAAATAGAGCACAGATGTTGGGTGATCCATGAGATGAGAAGATGGGTGCAATACAAAATCAATTTACTATAAAACAGCTTAACAGCCAACATTATCCACTTTGGAACTATATAATTTTTCAAACCGAGTATCAATAGATTGGTGAAAGATCCTTCCGTTTGATTTGTCGTATGCATTAGTTAATATCAATGTGTTAATATTTAAAAATAAATAATCAAACAAGGCAGACAGTACCATCCCCTGAGTGATAATGTGCCAATTCTTGAGCTGTAGAAGCCATCCTTCCGAGAACTGCATTCATCTAAGCATTACAGACCACTATAAATCCTTAAGAAATATTATCAGGATATTGACATTTTACGTACTATTGTAAATTGTTAATATTAGTCCCTATTAGGAAAGTATTTAGGGACACAATGCTAACACACCGCTAATTAATGAAGGGTGTATTTATCCAAACTTATTTCACCTCCAGATTCCGTGCTGATAGACTATCATCAATAGCAGTCAACTGTCCATTAACAACAGATGAAGCAGCAACTCTTGCCCTTCTTCCTTGAATTAAGGATGAAGCCTGCCCTGTGAGAATATCATACTGAGACTGCAAAGACCTAAGCTGTTTTTGCAACTCCAGAGCTTCAGACTTTAAGGCTATGGTAGCTTCCCTAAAGAAAAAAGCATATCCAATGGAGCATGTCAGATTGACAAAAATAAAAATAAAAAAAACTAACCAAACTTGGACCGCAGTTTGCTGAAAATCAAGAAGGTCCAATTGAAGTTTCACATATTTCCATCCAAATGCAAACTAAAGAAGATGATGATATCAATAACCTTATGTCTTTCAATCCTTCTTCATTTCCGAAAACAGCTTCTTGGTTGTCTCTCCTAGTTGAGAAGGCCGAAATGCTATCATAAGCAAAGTCCAAGTCCTCCCCCTATTAGGCCAATAAAAACATCAGGATTAGCACATGATAGAACATAAAGAAACACGGAAAATCTGCTTTATCCAGAAGATTCAGTAAATGAGTGCCAGAAATGGAGCAAAATAGGGGATGGATGACAGTCACACCTCCAAAAGCTTCCCTTCTTGTAAAAACTGTTCATATCTACGAAACCAAAAGAGCAGGATCAGTGTAAAAGGAACTGTTAGTATATTTTGAATTCTTGATTAAAGTTGGTATGAAGTTAGTGAAAACTCAAAATAAAAAATTAAAGAAATCAAGTTTATATTAGTACTCAATGAGATCAATAGCTCAGAATTCAAAGAATTATATCATGTTTAGAAAGGAATTGATTGTGACATGTGATTGCATTTCAATTGTGTTCAAAGATATGCACAACAGCTCCTTTTAGCAATCATGCCGAGTAGCGAAGTTAGTCAAAGAGAAAAATCGGAGACTGAATTGTTCATATAAACCAACACAGCAGTACTCAAAGATATTATAAATGGACTAATCGAGCAAACATATGAACTGTTGCCAAATTGAAGGATGTGATCAACGGGTAGCGGGGTCAATACAAAAAAATGTCCTAGCATTAACCACATCATCAGGTGCTAAAAATGCTATACTCTATGAGAAGGTTTTAAGATTCAATACCCTCCCTCCTGACCTCATATATACCTAATAACCAACCCCATGCTTGGCAATAGGCTACTCCAATAAGGTGTGACCCTAAGTACTGCTATAACTTTCTAGAGTAATGAACCATACGAGTCATGGACAGAATCACCATACTGAAGACTGATGGAATGTAACGCGGTGGTTATACATCACTGTGTTTTGTTGGTTCTTTTATGTTGGGCCACTTATCTTTAATCTAATAACAATATTAAAAGTGCCAAATGTATTACTCAACAATAATACTCAATATCAGTCCAATCAGAGGGAAGCCCCTAATTTCAATCACTATCTTTCCATGACATCACTTAAAATGGCCTCAACAAAAAGTAATTGAAATTAGAGTACACCTAAGTTCATTCAAGAGAAACCTGGCTTTAGAGCTCACTTAAGTTCATTCAAGAGAAAATTAATTTCCCAGGTCCATAATCATGGCCAATTCAAGAACAGAGAAAAGGAAGGGCACTTCACTGGGAAACTTCGGCGGGAAAAAGTACGTTGGACGGGCGAAGGCTAGAGCAGAGCCAATCGAGGATGGGGCGAGTGTCTTCGTATTGGAAAGGCCATTCAAAGCTGTCGGGATCGAGCGAATCATGGCCTTCATACCCCAAGTCTCCCAGCAGTGCGCAAAGCCGCGCACCGCTCATCCTGGCTTCTTCCCTACGACTATACTACTACTACTTCCCCGCAAACTGCCGCGACTGGCTTCAGATCCGCACGCTGCTTCGTTTCCAGATTACCATTTTCGGTTTAACTTCGCGGCTAAACAGATAATTTTGTTTCTGTTCTTTTTGAAAAGCTACAGCCTACATGTCTGGGATGGGAAGCAATGAAGCTAGCGAATTGCGGATTTTTTCACCTGTTGACACAAAATCACTCCGTCAAATCGGAAATAACCTTATTTTCTTTCAAATACTACCACTAGACTCAGATACAAAATGGGATATTTATCTCTAAAGGTCCAAAATAATGCATTTTTTAGAGTGGAAAAAATCATAAATTGTTGAAATATAATTGGGAGAACTATCAAATAAGCCTTCTAACTTTTATAAAAAGTGCAAATAAGATCTTTTACATGAGGCTTTGTCCGGCTGTCGTTGTTTGGGGTGATTTCCTATGGAAGATTTTGATGAAATTTTTTGAACATCTTCTTCATTAAGTCTAGTTTACTCATACCAAATTTCAGCTAAAAATTCAATCTAGAAGGCAGTCAAATGATTTTCTGAAATATACTGTGTTGCCTAACTGCACAGTTATCTTCAAAAATTCATTTGACTACCTTTCCAATTGAATTTTATCTGAAATTTGGTATGAGTAAACTAGAGTTAATAAACAAGATGCTCAAAAAATTTCATCAAAAAATTCCACCGGAAATCGCTCCAAATGACGATGCCGGATAGAGCTTCCTATAAAAGGGCTTATTTGCACTTTTTATGAAAGTTCGATGAGCTTATTTGATAATTCTCTCAATATAATTCAATTAGTCATCTTCCAACTATTCCAGATGATAATTGTGTGGTTCACAATTATCCTCTAATCCTAAAGAGTTTAATTTCTCTTATAAATATGAGTCTTCTTCATTGTAATTAACAAATCACGTGAACTCCTTTATCACACCATTATCACACTCTCAATAACATCTTTATCACTAATTGTTCATATTATACTTTTTCTCCCTAATCTTCTGTTTATTTCCTTTCATTTTATAACATAAATAAAAATATAAATTTTCGGTAGGTTAGTCTATTAGATCGAAATACTTTTATAGGGTTTTAACTACTACCCTCAGATCGTCCGATACTCCGATCTGGTCATTTGGGAATTCTTCCCAGTCCACTGCCGCTATCGGAGTTCATTGCCGCCCTCAACGGACTGATAATGCAAAACAACTAAGGGCTAATAATTATATTAATTAATTAATTAATTATATTAGGAGTATTGGGAGTAGAAATGTAATGTTTCATCTTTTTCAAAGAAAATCAAATATATGATCCTATTTTTGGAAGAATGTTACTCTTTATTGTTTTAGTCTTAATTTGAGCAATTTCCTCTACACAAACTTGTACTGCACCTTTGGATTTAAAGTGAATTTTTTTTAAGTTTTTCCTAAAATACTTTTAAAATAAAATTAGTCGACAAAAAATAGAAAGGAGGGCAATATATTAGGGGTGGACACGGTCCGGGTCGGGTAATTGATCAATTTTCAAGAACCGTCGGTTCCGTTTAACGGGTAGGTTTGGTCAGGGTATACCAAGTTTCAAAATAGGAACCGGACCTTACCCGCCCCGTTTGAAACGGGCCGGTTCGGTCCGAGTCCCCGGTTCTTTTTTGAAAAAAAAACGACTATGCATGCAAAGTTTCTAGCAAGTTATAAAATTCTCAAATTAATTACGTATTAATGTAACCATAATGTAGTAAAATTTAAAATAAAAGTATAAGACAACATTTTGAATTAGTTAACAAAATATCAAAGCACAAATCTATAAATTAAACAACACACAACCACCTTAATTTAAATGTTAATCATCATTCGTAAACCAATTAAAAAGATAGCACTATAAATTTATAAGAAATTAAACTAGTTACTATACATATACATATTTGTATGTGAAAACACTTTAAAGCTTATAAAATCTCCAAGTATAAGTAAATTTAAGATAATTAAATGAATGTGTCATACTTCATTGAGTAAGAGTCTTTGTTTCCAAAAAAAATATTAAAGAACGAAAGTTGATGGGTTTGGAATAGAAAACAGAGGAACATAATTTAGGAGTTTAATCAAATGGATTTGGAAACTATTTTTAATAGACTGAGAAATTTCTTTAATTGGAAGTCATTGTCTAGACACAAGAACATGAAGAGCTTTTGTGTGTTGTTACTATTTTATATTATATTGGTATTAAATATAATACAGATTATTAAAATAATATTTTAAAACGGTTCGGTCCGGGTACTCATTTTTCCAAATTTTAAGACCCGTTCGATTCCTAAGTTTTTCAGGACCCGCCCCGCCCCGAACCGTTTGCGTTTTGACGTTTTCTAAAATTAGGATCCGACCCTAACCCACCCTGAATTTGTATTACCCGGCCCAATCCGCGGTTCCAATACCCGTTTGCCCACCCCTAGAATATATAGATGTTGATCTACTCTAGTGTGCAGCAAAAAAGAAGGGAAATATATGAAATAACTAGTTTTACACGCGCGTTGCACGATCGAGTAAATGCTCGATGTTATAAACGTGAAATACAGTTTTCTAATCTTTGACAGGGAATGAGAGTGAATTATTTTTTGGGTGAACTGTAAGTACATTAAATAAAGCATCCAAGAAGAAGGGGGAGCAAGAATGTACAAGCAAAAGAAAGGAAACAAAAATGCAAGGTTATCCAACAAGGATAACCTTTCCCCAGCCTAAAAAAACTATCAACAAACTACGGCGAGCACCTAGACGAGAGGTGAGGCACAAGCAAACCAGCAGCCAGCCCACACACACAAAGTCCAATCACCTAGAAAGAGTGATGGTCAAACAAAGCACACGGTCACAAGAGTGCAAAAGATTACAAGTTTACAAGTTCACGTGGATATAAGCCATAGAGGATCTTATAAACAACATATTGTATCCTAGCAAAAACATCATCTTCTTTGGGAATCAATCCATCAAAACAGGTAGCATTCCGGGTCCTCCAAATCCAGTAGATGGAGTAGCAAAAAGCAATCCTAGTCTCCTTAGCTTTGATCCCCGAGCCTTGTCTTTTCCTCCTTATCCATTTCAGCGAGCTATGTAAAGTCCCCATCTCCCTTGGAATGTCCAGCCAAGCTCTCACTTTATCCCAAACTTTACCTGAAAAAGAACAAGCAAAAAATAGGTGTGGCACCGTTTCTGGGCCACCCTTACAAAAGGGGCAAATATTAATAACATCTAATTTATGTAAGTTATCAAAAGTAGCCAGACGGTTCCGAAAGGCTAACCAAACCATGAAGGAGAATTTCGGAGGGATAAAAGATTTCCAAATGAAGGACATCCATATGTGGGATCCCTCCTTAATTCTAAGGAGATTATAAACTTTGGTAGAAGAAAGTTTGCCATTGTCATGGCAGCCATTCAAATAGGTAATGGCATCATGAATGTTGTCAAAGTGGCTTAGAATTTGATCTCTAATCCGAGCAATCTTCTTGATGAGTTGGGAGTCTCTTTTATGAGGTGTAAACTCTCAAACACCTCTACCATTGAGGTAGACACCATGGATCCATCTAACCCAAAGGTTATCCTTCTTGGTGTGGATATCCCAAAGGGTTTTAGCCAACAGGGCAGGATTCCAAACTTGGGTATCATGTATGCCCAGACCACCTTCCTCCATAGGGAGGCAAACATTTGCCCATGCAACTCTAGCATACTTGCACCCCCAAAGGAAAATTCGACAGATGAAAGTGATTCTATCAAGAACAGCCTTAGAAATATGAAGTGCTTGTAGCCAAAAGGAATGAACACCTTGAATAACAGACTTAATGAGCTCAACTCTTCCACCATAGGAGAGAGTTTTAGTGTTCCAAACATTGATGTAATTGGTAATGGAATCCAATAACGGAGCATACTGTGCCACGAAAATCTTTAAAGGAGTCAAAGGAATGCCCAAATACCTCACATGGAAAGTTCCCTCTTTGAAGTCAATCATATCAAGAATATGAGTAAGATCATGCTCGACCAAGCCTCCAAGAAAAATGTTAGACTTATCAAAGTTTACTTTAAGGCCAGAGACACTACCAAATTCATCTAAAGCATCCATGAGAAATTTAATAGAGGGATAATCCCCTCTAGAAAAGAGCATGAGATCATCAGTGTAAGCAACATGGAAAATATTAAGTTTTCCACACTTAGAATGGAACTTAAAAGAAGGATCTTTGGTCTTACTGTGGAGAAGCCTAGAAAAGTATTCAAGGTAAAAACACAAAGAGGAGGGGAAACATGGAGTCCCCTTGTCTAAGACCCCTTTTCCCTCTAATGTTACCACAAAGAAGAGAGTGAATTATTAAAATAACATATGCATGAGAAAACCACTGGATAGGATTGCAATTGTGCACCTAAACATCACTCCATTCATCTCTCCATATACTATTATCATCGAGGACATCCATCTTGAACTCCAATTGCAACAACAACAGCAACAAAGTTACAAAAGCAATACAAAACCAAAATATTGATGCGTCCTAAAGGTGTCAAAAACAATTGCTTAAAATTCAATGTTTGAAGTAGCAAACATTTCCTATCACCCCAATAAGATTCGGGTAGACAAAGATAGAGTTAGTATCACACAGCCATGCCCAATCTAGCTCTCAGTGTCAGTAGGACCATGAGATCACCATTTTAGAGTGTCATTTAAAATTTATAGGAGCCAAACTTTTAAATCAGGGAAAAATGAAGAGCGGGCAACTAAACCTTCAAAAATGAAACAACAAAAAAACACATGAAAAAAACAGTCAGATGATGTACTTATGCAAATAGTAGGAATATGAAGTCACTTTAATTTCCCCTAATAGTTAGAAAACAATACCATCAGTGTGGATCTCATATAACAACAAACAGAACTTATATTCCCGATCACTAACTAGTAAAGATTAACCTCTTGAGAGAGTAGGCTTACATCCCCCTATCCTCACGCCCATTAATATAATATTTAAGACATTTGATACACAATATCCACCATTTTCAAATATAAAAACATTTAATTTACCAAAATCGTTCATAGTAACAGAGAGTTATTAACATTTATCAAAATAAAGCTCCTGTAAATATAAAGCCTCTCTCATACATTGTCTCATTAGCCGAGACCTGGGGGCATTTAGAATGATCATACATCACCAGCC